CACGACACAATGGACATGGTATCTACAGGAATGGAAAAATATGTAGTTAGTATTTTGTTAATCAGATGACTGCGTTTTTTTTTAGAAAACCTACTTCAGAATTAAACACGGATTTATAACTCCTAAATAATTGACCACTTATTATTTATATTGCAAGTATGCTTACTTCTTGTTACGATATTGAGTGAAGAAGAGATATATAGACTATGTATTGATCTACTTAGTTTTTGTTAGTTATTCACTATCATTTAACTGAAGCAGGGAAATTAATAACGTTCATCCAGAATGTTTTCAAGACATTGGAATGATTTAACATACGACAAGAAATACATGACGAAAACGAGTCTTTTTTGCAAGTTTTTATGTGTTAATTCTATGTAGCTAACTGCATTATTATGTGAGCTAACAACCTAAACTATCAGTTACGATATAGTAATAAATTAATAGTATACTTGTAATATTCCTAACTACTCATTCAATTTGGACTATTTTTCTAAACAATTATAATTAATCCCTTCAAATTTTACTTAGTTAATAAATAAATCAGCTATAATCTTTTAAATAAAAAATATCACACCTTTTACAATAATTTACATACGCAAGTATGTCACCTCGGTCTGGAGATAATATGATCGAACTTATTTCTTGTTGAATTAAACATTATGTGCAGATACATGTACTTGACTCTAGGCCACAACCTCAAGTGTAAGGCTTAGAGATACTAAACAATTGCTCAAAACAAACCAGCTGGGACTTATGGGCTGAAAGTCACATGCCTTGATAGTCATATGTTAGTCAGTCAGCTACAAAGTAGTAGCAGGCAAATATATGCCATACCTCATTAGCACATCAAATTCATAGAAGTAGTTACTTCAATGGTATTAATATATGGAAGAAAGATTGCATATAAGGATATAATACAAGAAGAAAGAATTAACTTGTAGAAATAAAGGTATAAAGTAATTTTAATCTCACTGTTTAAGGGAAGACGAAGAGTGTATACACCTACGCCATTGTGATTGGTTCTGAGCCATGTCGTCTAGTCTCCAACCATTAAGTACGACAGTCGCATGGACCCTAACCAAGTAGTGTGCATCTACCAACATGGCTCAGACCAGAAAATAGTGACTTTATGGACTGATGCCACTTTTTGGTTTGACCTCTCCCAACTTTCTCCCATCCATCCCCAACACTAGTCAGCATTGTGCGCCGTGGTAATCGGTGTTCAGGCATACGCAACACATGGCCCAACCATCTCAGTTGATGTAGACTCACGACCTCATCAACCGACTTACCATCATTCCCTAATACCCTGCATCTGAACCTCACTATTACTTACCCTGTGATCCCAGCAGATGAGAGCAATATTTCTAAGACATCTGTGATCAAATACTAGTAACTTAGTCAGTCAGTCATCAGTAATGTAGAACTTCGTACGTACGTACATCAGTTCGAGTTGCCATACCAGTCAGTCAGCTACAACGTAGGAACAGGCACATATATGCATCAGTCCAAGTTGCCATACCACATTCGCACAGAGATACAATTGTCGATTCAAATCTCATTGTGGTACAGGCAGTAAGAGTATAATTAGTAATCGGAAAGATTAGGGTTTAAAGATGTTATTCAAGGAGTATAAACCAGTGAAACAAATTTGGGAAGATAAAAAAAGGGACATGAAGAATTCAGAAGATCAGAATTTGGGAGAACACAAAGAATGGATGCACCTGCGCCATTGCAAACAATTAACCTAAGAGTATCCTCTACCCTTAATGGTCATGTTTCGCAGCCGTAAAGTAGAATAGAACGAACTGCCGCGCAGTATACTCGTCCCTTAATTGATAGACGGATATCTCACCTTTGCCATAAGTGACGTAGGTTAGCAAAAGCCACAAGAGTCTGTTGAGTACGTGCAGAGATTTTGTCAGATACCAACCGATTAGGGATGACCAGACTTCCAAGATAAGTAAAGTTGTCGACGCGTCCGACTACTCCACTCCCTATCCTAAGTCCAGGTGTTGATGCAGACCAGTCTTGAAGCAACAAGTTGCATTTCGAGAAGGAAAAATGCATTTTAAACGTCCTAGCATTGTTGCTCAGTGTTACCAAAAGACTTCATTTTATCAGCGTCTTCACCAAATAGAACTATGTCATTTGTGTATTCTAGGTCGATAAGTGGACCTACTGGAAGGGGATCAATGCCCGAAAATTCAGTCGACGAGAACGTTATTTCCGTCAGTATGTCTATGAAGTTGAACAAAAATGGAGATAGTGAACAGCCTTGACAGACACCAATTGAGGTTGCAAATACAGATGACAGTTCGCCATAAGCTTTGACTCGACTGCAAGTGTTCGAAGTGCTATGTACCAGGTGGGATTTTTCTGCAGGACAGCATAACTTGTCTTAATATCAGAATCTTCAGTACGAATGTCAAAACAGTTCTACTGTATGGGACGCAATCTTGGAAAACTACGTAAGTCATCATCAAGAAGATAAAAGCGTTTATTTATAGTTGCCTATGCAAAATACTTCGGATCCGTTGACTAGACACTATCAGCAACAACCTACTGTGGCAGAGGACAAACTATTTGACAAGTAGGAGCTTATTTATCCAAATCAGGTTAGTATTTTGGGCAATGTTCTATATTGTGTGGTTATCGATAGTAATAGACTGTCGTAATTTTGGTGAGGGTCCTAGACATTTTACTTTTGTCACATATTTGTTTGTAAGAAATCTGAAAACATACAAGATCAGTTAAGAAGAAATCAATTATAAGACATAACTAGCAGCCACTATCTCTACCTAACCCTGACAGGAACGTTGTGTTTATGAATGATACGTGTACACTCAGTCTGGAGAAAACAGGGGCATACCTCTGGAAATATCAAGTGAATTCATATGTTTAATTTTAACCTGATCATCTATATAACTACGGAAATTTCATCAGTTAATTAGCGACAGAAATATGATAAATTACTGATTCTATTAATTGTACTATAAGAGAAGAATCAAGTATACAGATATCACCGTAGAATTTAGACTTATTGAATGAGTAACAGATTATTGTTCACAAATCAAGAAATGGTTTTTGTGCTCATTAATTTTTACTTGGTTAATTATTACGCACCCGATGTGAATTATAAATATAAGTGTGATTACCGCTTTCTCTTTGAATTGAGTGTCTGTTCATTTGTGACTACCAGAGTGTGTAATTTACTCCTGGAATTACCAGTCATTATACTGAATCCAATTCGTCAAACGAGTATACTTTTAAATACTCGGTTACTCAGACTGAAGCTGGAGATTTCAAACAGCTGAATTAAAATACAATCTCTAAGATCCCAGCCAGGGAGTCGTGAAGGACCAACACAAGCCAGCCCTTTGCAGATTTCTTTCATACCACTACACCATGTCATACACTGACCACCTCTCCGCTTCTTCCAACCAGTCCCAGAGTTAGCAAACAATGCACGACGTGGAATTCTCTGGGATGACATTTGTAGAACATGTCTAAGCCACCGAAGTCGGTGTTTCAAGATGATGACACCAATTGCATTGTCGTCTCTGTGCCCGAACACACGATGCCGAACCTCTGCATTACTATCATGGTGTTGCCAATGGATGTCAGCAATCCTTCGGAGACAACGACGATCGAACACAGAGAGTCGTCTAACATCCTGAACTCGGAGAGGCCAGGTTTCACAAGCATAGAGCAAAACTGCTCTCACCGACGCGTTGTAGATTCGACCTTTTACAGCCAGGCTAACATCACGAAGGCGCCAAGCACTTATGCAGCTACCTAGATACAAGAACTTCTCGACTACTTATATCTGTTCACTACCCAGGGTGAGTACAGGATCAGGGTCCCGCCAGTCTGGTAGAAGTACTTTGCACTGATTGCCAACTGAATGAGTGCGGATTGCATGGCTTGGGCATTATCGCACAGTAAGACAATATCATTCGCATACTCGAGGTCGAGAAGTCTTTCTCCAAGCAACATATCCACACTACCATTACCTACATCCATGAGAACTGTTTCCAGAATGTCATCGATGGCAGAGTTGAAGAAGAATGGTGAGATTGGGAAACCCTGTCTAACCCTACTGCTCGAATGTAACAATGGGGAGAAGTGGTTGTATGCCCTCATTCTGCCTGAGGTGTTTGTATATAGGGCTTTTAGGAAGTTGCTAAACTTCCCACGCACACCCTTTTTCAATAGACAATCCCAGAGGACATTTGGCGGAGGGTGAAGATATGATCAATACATCGTCGACCAGAATGAAAACCAGCCTGCTTCTCGCGAGTCAATCTCTCTCGGGTTTCGAACAATCTACGAAGTATGACAGAAGCCAATGGTTTGAATGCAGTCTGAAGTAGACTTATCCCCCGATAGTTGTTACAGGAACGACGTGAACCCTTTTTAAGGATATGGATAATTATCGACTCATTCCATGGCGTTGGTACACTCTCTAGCTCCCAGACTTTTGTAAACAACACAGTCAGTTCCTTAACCAGGAAGTCACCACCATCTTTAGGAAGGGCCGAAGGTAAGTCATCTGGGCCCGGTGATTTGTAGCGCCTTAAGAGTTGGAGTGATCGGACGAGAACCGGTGCTTTCAACGTGGTATGGTCGCCCCCGAATGCCCTGGTATGGCCGAGAGTGGGGAGAGTTCGCTCTCCCTCTCGAAATGCTCTCACACGGCCACGCGTATATAGCCTCTGCCAGGGAAGTCCTACTCACTGCCTTCTCGTGGCGGGGGTGTTGTTTACGAAAATGAGAGGACGAAAAGCGAGTGTCAGGTGCTTCAACCGGATTCCAAACCAATGGTGCACATGGGCTCCAGTATCCTGCGGGAACATATGACGTATGAACCAATTGTTGATCACCGACTTCCATGGGATTGCATCTCCTTACGATGCTCCACTGCCTTGTGGATCAGACCTTCAGGTCGAAGGCTCGGGGAGTGGCCCCCTAAGAAAACCACCTGCTTCGGTTCGGGCACCCGGGCAGTATCACAGCCCCCACATATATCGAATGAAATTTGCGTGGCGCGTATGCATTTGGTGCCTCGTTTTACCAACATCTCTGTTAAAATAAATAACAATAAATAATAAATACGAGTTGTAGTTCCTCGCGGACTTTCGCCTCATTTGGTGGATCATTCGTCACAGGCCATGGAGCGCAGGACAATCTGATAGATGTTGGCGGGGCAACAGACCACTTGAACTGCCCCTCAGAAAACTCTGCCGATCGTCCAAGACATCGATAGATGTTAGTGATTGGTATCCCGTCATCTTCACAGATTGTCTCGCTCACACCAGATTTCTTGTTGCCAGTGCCTCGGATAAGTTGAAAGGACTTCCGGCAGTTACCAGATGCAGTTGCTGCTTCCAACTCATAGGCACGTTCCGACCACCAGGCTTCACGATCCTTACACAAGCTTTGTCCAATTTCATTACGCAACATCCTTCGTCTGTGGTCAAACTCACGGTCACCCAGGGTAGACCGATGGGTCCCGATGAGTTGTAAGGAACCTGAAGAAACAATGCTTATAAGCGAGACGTTTCGCGAAGCCGCAAGAGACTTTACTCGCCGTTTCCATGGCGTCTTGCAACTGGAACCAATGCCCATCTATACTTTTCGGTGGGATGTTAGCTAGCCTTAAACCTAGCTCGGTTTGATATTTAGTTGCAACAGAAGCTGCAACCAATTTACTGACATCAATCCGTTTAGGGCGATGAATTTCTTGGCCACTGAAAAGTAAGGTAAGATTAACGCAAACAACGGCATGATCAGAGTCCAGATAGGTACTTTAAAAGGAGCGGCAGTCTTGTACACAACCACGCCAGCTGTAGCTGATCGTGATGTGATAAATCTGAGTCCAGGCTTGAGATTCAGAGGGAGGAGGTCAGGTAGCACATCGGCGATTACTGTGCCGGTAGTTAGTGCTAGCCAGAAACAGGTTGTGGTCTGCGCACAGCTGCAGTAGACGGTCCTCGTTATCTGTCCTGCGACTAACAAGTCCACACCGGCCACCTAAACGACTCTTTTCTGTGTTTAAACGTCCGGTGTGAGCATCCAAGTTTCCAGCTAGTACTACAATATCTGTCGAACACACTTTCTATATAACAGTTAAATGATGGTAAAACTCATGCTTGATCGCATTCGGGCTGCAATCTGTCGAAGCGTATGCGACGACGAAAAGACATCGTTTCTCACTCCGATTTCCTCTTACTTTGATGGAACTTTCTAATCTAACAGCACATAACTGACCTTTAATGGGGATCTAATCAGCTAGTGTTGTCTCAGCTCTAGATCTTAGTACGACACCAACAAAACTAAACGAAGATGCTACAAGGTCCCCGAATAAGCTCACATAAAACAAGTTTTTCGAAGCGACAGATGGAGAGCAAATTTGTAGCACTTAACTAGAGTCTTGAATACGGGTCTCGGATAGACAACAGACGTCGATATTAAGACTTTCTAAAGACATAGCCAACCATATATGTTGTCCGATCTACATTATTGTGTGAATGTTGAAAGAAGTCAGCTTGAATAGTATACGTGGTTTCAGAAAGGCTGTTTCAGTATTGGTATTCGGTGGTAGCATTCAACTCTCGACCAGTCAGTGACTCGAGATCGTTTAGATAATTACTCATAAACAAAACATCATTTCACAATAAAGAGTGTGTACTTACTTCAAGTGGTGGAAATTCAGTGTATGGGCCCTTGGCTTTTAATTCGCTTATTTCCTCTTCATATTCTACTCGTCTACGATTCATATACTCACCAATACAGTATGTATGAAAATAATGAAAATTTGTTGTACAATAGACATCACTTTCATTTTGGAAGCAATTCAAGCATATTGCACACTCAACAGTTGGGATGTTGGATGAAATAAATTCACGACAAAACTAGATGTAGAAGAATTAGGAGCATATTTTATGCCACATAATAAAATGAAACAATAAACTGTTTACGGTACACGGATACAGTTACTATAAAAAACTTTGAATTATCTAAATGATCTTTCAACAGTTACTATATGGTGCTGTTTCCACGTCTAATATGGTGGTAACTAAGTTTTAAATAAGGCCACTAAGCGAAGGGATGTAATCTGTTACCTTTTGTATTGATTTCAGCTTTTTGAGTAAAAGTAGTATGAAGCACCTGACTTACGTTTTGGCGAGCTTGTTATCCATCAGTTGTATATATTTAAGATCGTTTAGAGGACTCAGCGGTCTGGAGTTGTGCAAGTGAATATGTTAGCTTTACACAATAGCATATGGCACATAAATCTATTTTATAATTTTGACAATCAACTTTATTTAAACTAAAGTTAATGGATGTATCATAACATACTATTCCTAATCAATAATAAACTTACGTACATCCACAAGATCAAAAATAACTGGATCGCCGTGTCGTTCCAAAGTTAAATCTCTTAGAAGGGATAATAATTTTGCAATATCTTTTTCTTTCAGACCATGAACACATTCTACAGAGACTGTAGGTGACTCTATCGGATACTGTAAATAATAATATTCAATTAACGAATCAAAATATAGAAAAACTGGAGTTATAAACAAACCTTCAAAGTAACATTCAAGTTCAGGTTAAATTTTATAAACTTGTTTACGGGATTATTAAATCCTACTCCAGGAGTTACTACAAAAGTGACTGTATATTGATTTGAACTAAATAAGACTATCAAAGTATAGCTAGACAAAATAACCTACTCAAAGTCAACTTTGAATTCACCGGGAAACATTTCATATAATAATTGCAATTCATCTTGAATTCTTAAACAAAAGTTTTAATCAACACAGGAAAAAAACAAACTTACATGTTGTCCATTCATCGGTAAAACCTGTCTACCCGAAATTGTTTGATGAAGGGAAATGTCTATCAGGGGAATAAAATTACGTGCAAAACATCCGAAAGTTATTAAAATGTTAGAATTACGGGTTAACTGTCTAAACTCAATAAATACAGATCCTAATACTCTGCGTGGCTTAAACAAACGACCGTAAAACGGATAATAAAGGGAACAGTTCGAAAGAAAATAAAGGGAAAAACGCAATGAAAAGTCGATACTATCGCCCATCATGGGGAAATAGTGTTAAATTTACTCGTTTTATCGCCTTGTAGTCTACTTTCCACTTAGCTCCAATTGCCTTCTATGCTTACCTTTATTTCGATTACGAAACAAACGTTTGGACACCAGTCAACTTGGTTAAAAAACGGTACGTGGTCAAAGACATTGATAGGAAATAACTTCATAGTTTACAAGGAGATTAATGACGGACAGATGCTCGTCACTCACAAGTACAAAGTTCCACTGTCGTTTGAGGTCTACAAAAGGAATAACAGGTAATTCGTAATCTATTAAGAATGTGTCCTAAATGTTAAGTCCATGTAAAGTCAAACATGTTCTCACCACATACATTTAATTATTCTCGACGTAGCACATGTAAGTGAGAAAGAAAATTCATGTCAAGAGAAAGCTTTATTACAAAACTAGGTTTAACAGGACAATAAATTTGGAGAGTTCATACCCCATAGTGGCATGCATTAACCACACCAATGAAAAGCGTTTAGATAACAGCAGTACGTTAACGAAGTGAAATCAACAATTCATTTTAGAGTGTAATAACGTTGACATGTGTCCCAAGATTTCGATAAACCGAAACGAAAAAATCAATATATATTCCTTATGAAATTGAAAATAAATAGCAGTCAAACCATCAGAGATGCTAGTTTCAATATTGATGGGTTTCGAGATTTTGTACCAGATTTACTAAAAAGCACTTAAAGTGTCCTGAGAGCATGCAACATCTTTCAGCAGTGGGGTTTACTACCATTTAGGATTGGAAACCAATCTGTTAAGATATGTCAAACTTTGGTTGGAATTACGCATTCATGCAGACGGACTATCCCTTTTAGACAGCTCAAATCAAAGTTCAGAACATACAAACAGATTATTCTGATTAGGAAAAGTAACACTAAGATTCAAAAAAGGATTTATTCTCAGAATACATTTTTCTGTCCAGCCTAATTTTATAATAAAACTTTCTCTTGACATGAATTTTCTTTCTCACTTACATGTGCTACGTCGAGAATAATTAAATGTATGTGGTGAGAACATGTTTGACTTTACATGGACTTAACATTTAGGACACATTCTTAATAGATTACGAATTACCTGTTATTCCTTTTGTAGACCTCAAACGACAGTGGAACTTTGTACTTGTGAGTGACGAGCATCTGTCCGTCATTAATCTCCTTGTAAACTATGAAGTTATTTCCTATCAATGTCTTTGACCACGTACCGTTTTTTAACCAAGTTGACTGGTGTCCAAACGTTTGTTTCGTAATCGAAATAAAGGCGATATTCCAAACACAATGCGACAAAACGAGTAAATTTCGTACTATTGATACACTAGATATGATTCAAGGAAAGAGGAACAAGAAGGAAGCAATCAATACCAGCCGAACAGGAGCAGAGAAAACCATGGCACAAGCTGAATACACAGAAGTAAACAAGCAAATGAAGAGGAGCATGAGTACCGGCAAACGTAAATATGTGAAAGATCTGGCAATGATGGCGGAAAAGACTCCAAAAGAAGGAAACATGAGAAAATTGTATGATACAACAAAGAAACTCGCTGGAAATTATCGTAAACCAGGACGACCAGTGAAAAGCAAGGAAGGTAAAGTAATCACCAACGTTGAAGAACAGCGAAACAGACTGGCAGAACACTTCAAAGAGCTCCTTAATAAACCAGCCCCATTGAACCCACCCAACATCGAAGCAGCACCCACGAACCTACCGATCGATGTTGGCCCACAAACAATTGAAGAGATCAGCATGGCAATCAGACAAATCAAGAGCTGCAAAGCAGTAGGACTAGACAACATTCCAGTGGAGGCACCGAAAGCAGACGTAGAGGTAACTGCAAGGATACTCCACATTCTCTTCAATATGATTTGGGATGAGGAACAAGTACCAACAGACTGGAAAGGACTTCTGGTCAAAATACCAAAGAAAGGCGGTCTTAGCAAGTATGAGAACTACACAGGCATCACTCTTCTCTCAATACCAGAAAAAGTCTTCAACAAGGTATTGTTAAACAGAATGCAGGATTCCGTAGAAGCCTAAATTCGAGAACAACAGGCTGCATTCCATAAGGATAGATCTTGTACGGACCGAATCGTAACACTAAGGATCATTGTGGAGCAATCAAATGGATGGAATTTATCACTCTACATCAACTTAATTGACTATGAGAAAGCATTTGATAGCGTGAACAGGACAACACTATGGAGGCTTTTTTACACTACGGCGTGCCTGAGAATATAGTCAATATTATACGGAATTTCCATGAGGGATTAAACTGCAAAATCGTGCTGACGGACTCGTTCGAAGTAAAGATCGGTGTCAGGTAAGATTGCTTACTACTGGTGATTGACTGGATCATGAAGACGTCAACATCTGGGGAGAAGCATGGGACACAACGGACATCTAGGGTGCAGCTGGACGATCTAGACTTCGCAGATGGTCTGGCCCTCTTATCGCGGTGGATTTGATACAGACGTGAGGGCGCGGATCGGAAAGCAAGAACAGAATATTTACAACTGAAGAACATCTGGAACTCAGTCAGTAACAAAGTAGAACTTCGTACGTACGTACATCAGTTCGAGTTGCCACATCACATTAGCACAGAAATGCAGTTGTCGATCCAAATCCCGTAGTGGTAGAGGTGGTAGGAGTATAAGCAGTAATCGGAAAGATTAGGGTTTAAAGATGTTATTCAAGGAGTATAAACCAGTGAAACAAATTTGGGAAGATAAAAAAAGGGACATGAAGAATTCAGAAGATTAGAATTTGAGAGAACACAAAGAGTGGATGCACCTGCGCCATCGCAAACAATAAACCTAAGAGTATCCTCTACCCTTAATGGTCATGTTTCGCAGCCGTAAAGTAGAATAGAACGATTTTGAGTCATGTCATTCAAGGTCTCTAACCATCGGTTGTTATCATCTCGCGGTCCCCAGCCAGATAGTCTACACCTACCAATATGGCTCAGTCCACTTGTCAGTGACTTCATGGACTTGTGCCATGTTGACTGGAACTCAAAACAATTGTCAACCAACACCGAGGTCAGAATTTTTAATACAAATGTCAAGACAGTTATACTGTATGGGGCGAGAACTTAGAGAACTACGAAAACCATCATCAAGAAGATACAAGTGTATATTAACAGCTGTTTACGCAAAGTACTTCGGATCCGTTGGCCAGACACTATCGGCGACAACCTACCGTTGAGGAGAATAAACCAGATCCCAGCGGAAGAAACCCGGAAGAAGCGTGGGAAGGAGATAGGACACACATTTGAGAAAAGAACCTAACTGCATCACAAGGCAAGCCCTCACTTAGAATCCTAAAGGTCAAGGGAGAAGAAGAAGACCAATGAACACATTACGTCGAAAAATGGAGGTAGATATGAAAAGGATGAGCAAAAATTGGACAGAAGTCAAAAAGAAGGCCCAGAATAGATTGAGCTGGAAAATGCAGGTCGGCGGCCTATGTTTTATTGGGAGTGACAGGCGTAAGTATTTCCCCATGGTGGATGAAAAAGTAGACTTTTCTGTGCGTTTTACCTTTTATTTACTCTGACCGCATTTCCTTAAGGAAATGCCGGTTTTACGGCTGCATACGAAGTAACTCATATTTAGTATTTAAACTTCGGGTGCGTCAACAAATCGCTTTCTATCACCCTCTGTCAACGAAAAAGACCTTGTGAAGCTGTACGACATAGCCACACAAGTTTATTTTCACGATGTCAGAGACAAAGTGATAAAGCGTAAAAGAAGGAAAGAAGGGCAGGTATGTACTAGTTTAAAGTGATAAAATTCCTTACGGCTCTATAGTTACAGTCATCAGTGTTAACGGACATAACCGTAAGTTTAGCTTAAAGTATTTGGCTGTGCCAAGACATGTCATTCAGATATTGTTGTGACTTTTTCTGTTTTTTAAACTTATTAGTTCACAGGACGACTATTTCAATTATTAATAGGCGAACGAATGTGGCTGAAAGGAATAATCCATGCAATTTTTTGATGTTCTATGTGCATTTCAATAAAAATTATTTTGTCAAAGAGCTTACTTTATTACTTACTTGGGAAACTATAGAAGTGTTGAGAATGTGTGTTTGAGTGTCAGTTAACTTTAGATTAGATGCAAATGCCTTATGAATAATACATCACCTGTTTCATCTTTCGTGAATCGTTTCAAATAACAATGAATCGGCTAGTACAATGGATATACAAAACGATTGATGCTCAAGCTTCTGCTCTAATGTTGTACAATAATAAGATTTTCCTCTTAAATAATTTTTTTAAAATACACCGGTTTTCCAGTGCGCATTGCAGTTTTATTTCGGTCTGTTGTTGAAAATAAAGACGAACATAGGAAACCTTAGGGGTTATGTCAATAGATGTCTCCTCATTTGCGGATAAATCTTTCGCCTTTTACTAAAGATTTCCATGTGGGAGGCACAATACAATGAGTCTTAACTCATTTTTTCCAACTCCGTCCTTGCATGGAGTATAAATTTTTTAGACACTGGAAAGACGCCATAATAAGTCCGGTGTATAAGGCTGGGAGTAGGGATTTAGTTAGTAACTATAGACCCGTTAGCTTAACTAGTGCAGTTGTGAAACTGATGGAGAAAATCATTTGCATAGCTGTTGTAAACTATGTTGAAGGGCAAAATCTTTTCTCCAGGGCACAGCATGGTTTACGGAAAGGCCTGTCTTGCTTGACAAATCTCATTGCACGAGAAGAGTGGGCTGCGGCAAAGGATCGGAATGCTCCCGTGGATGTAATTTTCATAGATCTAAGTAAAGCCTTTGATGAGGTTTCCCACTCTGGTCTTAAATTCAAGCTGAAACGTTTTGGAATCCATTATACAGTCGTCGATTGGATAAGTAACTTTCTCCATGACAGGAGACAAAGGGTAAGGGTTAATGGGGCTCTCTCCTCGTGGGAACCTGTAAAAAGTGGGGTTCCCGGAGGCACAATCCTAGGTCCTCTTCTCTTTTTACTTTATGTAAATGAATTGCCAACTGTAGCGAAATCATCCGTCATACTCTTCGCTGATGACATAAAGATTTGGAGACCCATACATAGTACGTCGGATAGAATAGTATTACAGGACGATCTTAGCTCATTGGTGGCATGATTAGACAGGTGGTCACTAGAAATAAATCCTAATAAGAGTGTAGTGATGCAGTTAAATAACTCTGATGAATCGTTTGACTATACACTACGTGGATTCGTGATACACAAAGCAAGAAACTATAGACTTAGGAGTTATATTAAGCAATGATCTCAAAACGACTAGTTACTGTAAGGCTGCTGCTGCAAAAGGCTATAGGGTATTATGGTCAATTCGTAAGTCTTTTCAGTATTTAGATGATGAAATGTTTGGATTACTATACCCGATTAATGTGCGACCACATTTAGAATACGGGATTCAAGCAGCGAGTCCTTGTTTCAAATATGAAGCAGATATGCTAGAAAGAGTCCAACGAAGAGCTACTAAGATGGTACAAGGTCTAGCTGGCCTATCTTATGAAGACAGACTGAGACAACTTAACTTATTTCCGTTATCTTACCGTAGAGTACGGGGTGATCTAATATTGGCTTATCGTATACTGAACGATGACCTTGGTATTAACATGTCTTATCTTTTGCTTCCGTCTAGAACCGATCATTTGAGAGGACATTCGAATAAAGTTCAAAAACCGAGATCAAACCGTTTACGTCTGGAGTTCCGTTTCTCGCACCGAGTAGTGAATTACTGGAATTCTCTACCGGAACACGTAATATCAGCACCGTCTGTTAATATATTCAAAACGCGATTGGACTTCCACAGTATTACAAACTGCAAGGATTAATATAGGTCGACAGACCTGCTATCCTTATTACTGAAGACGATCGAAAATAAGGAGTTCTGTGTGTATTTAGCCGAAAAGTAGACAACTAAGCGCATAAGTAGGCAATTCCGCGGAATTTCAGTCGAAAAAAAGACAATTGGGAGGACATTTAGGCGAAAAGTCGGCAATTTTTTTTATAATTTATCGACAAAGCGGCAAAAAAGGGGGAAATCCGCATTATTTCCCCCGGACAGGCGATAAAGGCGACATTCCGCCGCATTTTCCACTTTATTTCTCCTTTTGCTTCCAAAGTATTTACCCCTTTATTTCCCCTTTTTTGGTTGTTTGAGTTCTTTTTCAGTTAGATACATAAAAATCCTATAGGGTTTTGATAACAGTTATTTTCAAGCAACGCATTTCACATTCAACTGAAACATACTGTCCGTATTTATTCAGTTACTTGATACTTGCTTTTGATAGGTCTGAAACTTACGTAGCACAAATTTATTGTTCTACGGTAAAGTGCTGACGGCCTTGAGAAAAAATTAAAATGTTGCGTAATTTTGAGACATGTAGTAGCGCTTTATAACGCTTATTGCAGCTTCTTCTAGCTGCTGAATGGACGAGTCATTTAGGTCGTATAGATTGATCGGTTCAATTTTCATTATTTATTTAATATCGCTATCTTCATATACATTTGTGTAATTTTTGTTTATATGTACCTATCTCAGGCAGAAACTTCGTTCAAAATACTTTGAGCAAGATATCTCAGCCACGAGAAAAAGAAATTCCTCGTTAACGTTAGCAACTCAATAGCTACGGTTAAAAATCTATAAACTGCAGAAAACTTCGCACTTTTCTTGACCTTAAATCTGTTGTTTTTTCGTTTTTCAGGAAACAACGCAACTCACGCGCCTTAACGATGACCACAACTGATGGACCTGTCTGCCTGCTCTATGTGTGTGACGGAGGTTCGTTACGTCACTAACACTGACATTATCATTCTTCCGAAATACCTAAACAACTGTCAACAATATCCTGCGAGGGTTAAGTCGAAAACGTTTCACGGTATACGGCAAAATGTTCGATCACTTGAAAATGGGTTTAATTAAATGTATTAATTTTGGATTACCTCACCTAAGATGTTTCATTGTCCATCGTTGACACAGAACTGGTGAAGATTCGTAGATTTTTTGTCCACCAAGTCAAACGTAAGTTAGTAGATGAAATCATCAAACTTTCTGTGTACAGAGCATTATTTTTTGGATCCAAGTAACCTCCAAAGTGAGTTGGACACACAGTTATCAGGTGACTTCAAACCTCTACAAATTACAAGTCGGAATAATCCTGTGTCACCAGCTGTGTTACCAATAATCCCACGACCACGAAACCGCCTGCACTCTTGAAAGCACGCTGACTGGTTCCGGAGAGCCAAAAGCTGGCAAAGACCGAACTCGACAACACAGAGGACATGAGAATAATTCGAACAATGAACTATCTTAACTCCAAACAATGACATTTTATCATTAAAATCAATACAGAACACTATCTTCTAACGAATATTCATTAACTGACAGTTAACTTTATAGGTATGATCGTCTTTTAAATCGAAGTTGCAAAAACTTTACAGCCTAATTCCGATTACTAACAAGTGTATTAATTGAATGGATATAATCACTTCTTATGAACCTTATCGATTGTTGCATATCCTTTGGGTTGTTAAACACCATGAACTCTTTTCAAAGTACAATTTATAACGACTTCAGATGTCTCGCTTTTGAGCATGCATAATTCAAAGATATTCCTATAGCTAATCCAGACAGAGAACTTTATCTTCGTCATCAGGACTTTGTTCTTCAACGACTTAAACATCATTTTATTAACTAAAACATATATAAATTAAAAATTTGAACAAACTCTAGAATTCCTTGGGCATACCGTGAGCGCTCAAGACGTTTTCTCTCCGAAAAATAAGGTAATGTTCACCAAGCTCAAACTATCAAATTCCAAAACCGATTTTCAAAATCACTAGGAATAGTCTATCTGATTGGCGAAACTATGGTCATAATAAGCCAGAAAATACCTGAAAACGTACCGTAACATCACGAAGAATGCATAGAGAAATCATCTATTTTACAGTCCTCATGACAAAGACTATGAATATTGCAAACTTGTAGTGGCGTTGAGCCCTAAGTACACAATATTCAAAGCTGAACACGAGATAACTGGGAAAATAGATATTCAATATTTAACGCGGAGAAAAACCAAACGATGGAGAAGGCGGGAAGAATGAATGAAATGAATCCGAACCAATCAGACGGCATGGTTCAGGCTTGCAGGCGTCATCACTCTTAAGTGTTGTACCATAATTTCTTATTCATATTAAATATATTGTTTTATCTCTAGCCTAAGTTTGTTCATTATATGTTGGTGATTGGTACGATGCAATATGTTGGTGTAGACAATCATGTGACTAACACGCGAGATATTGTTGATTATGCAGTTACGTCATGAGAAATGTACGATTTTAGATATAAGTCTATTACCAGAGCAGTACTAATATCATAGTAGACCATAATTCTACATTGGTAAGCCTGACTAAAGAAACATAACCTATTATTATTCCTCATTTTCACTTTGACTTTCTAGATCGATTTTTATTTATGTAAACCCATTATTCTAATAGTCCTCTGATTAATGCTCACGTGTATTTTCGTAATGTTATGTTGATCAGTACTCATAACTTACTAGCTCAATCGATAATAAAAACTGGTCATCTATACTAATTTTTAGTTTTGATGGTTCATTAAAAAGCTTTAATAGCACTTACATGCTTCAAGGAAATAAACTTGTTCAAGTGTCAAGCTCTAAAAAATATGACCTGTAAATGACGTAAATATATATTGACTAGCAAAGTAAGCAAAGACTGAATGGTTATCTGGACCTAATTCTTCATATTCTTTCTTCACTTAACATTTTAATGTTTTAAATTATGGACTATCCTGTAATATCTTTTTTCCGACCACTGCCTGCCTAATTTGCAATTGCTGGATTCCATGGCCAAACTCAGGATACGAATGCTAGAAATTCGCGATGAGTTTGAATTATAAACTTCCTGCAATCTTCGATCTCATTTAAACTGTTCGTTAGGGAATGCTACGTATTCGGTTTCAATTAATTTTAGATGTAAACACATTCAGTCTACAATACTGTGTTAGTTCAAGAACTTAATCAACATTGCCTCATATTTTAGCCAGATTCGAACTACTGTATAATTCAAATTCTCGTTACTTGGAAACAAATATAACCTTGGCGAGTTTTGCCCTTTTTCCCTTCCTTGGTTCATTTACTGTGATTTAAGTACTTCCTAATTTATATAGATTTTCTCCATCAGACTGGTCGTATATATTTCATACAAGCCACTCCCAAGACTTAGTAGGAATATTCAATACTTTTATACTACAACATACTACTAAGAAAAAGTGTGTTGTTTAAAGATATTTCTTAATTGTAGTTGATTTTGACACATATTTGTAAATATCACTAGGCTAAATGCAGGAACTTCTTATGGAAATTTTCTAGCGCATCATATTCCTACCTAAAGTTACGAAAGTTGTCTTAACCATAAAATTATTTTTCTGGCCATGTTTATTATTTTCAAATTGTCATATACCTAAATAATCTGCATTTTAACCTGGCCTGTACATGCGTTGCACTATAACTCTATGTCTTTTAAATTTAAAAATCATGTGAATCGCCCTTAACCTTTTTCAATAAACCCATCATAGTAGTTATCGCTAAACCTATTTAGGTTTATGAAGTGGTCTGCCATATTAATAACCTAAAAAGACGAACATAATTTAGATAATAAAGTTACGAATTTAGGTGCTATCAACTGCGCTAGTATAATAACTAGACTCTCAGGTAGTTGTTGGCTAAACAAACATTTAAAATCAAAACTTCGGAACCTACTACTAAAGTTAACACTAAATGAATGATTTGAGTTGAAAATCATAGTATAATTAGACAACTCGGATTATTTAATGCTACAAACTTCTGCTATTTCAGAAGCACATAAAGCAACAATACCCATTTTCAACTGGCTACTCCTCAATCAACAATAACTAGTTAAAAATGATGGTTTAGAATATCGTCATAAAAGCACTGTCATGACTTAACGACCACGTAGTATGCTTGATAAAATTGATGAAATTATTAATCTATCTAGATTAGGCAGTTACGTCATGACAAATGTACGATTTTAGGATTAAGTCTATTACTAGAGCAGTACTAATATCATAGTAGACCATAATCCTACACGCTCATATAAAAACAGTGATGGTTATGAGGCGATTGACTAACCAAGCCAAAATCTGACATGAAAATGAATAAATTAGCTTATATGTGTGCTAGAATAACTCATGTGGGCTTGATGTTGTACCTTACATTGCAAATGGATGATTTCTTGTACTCACCAGAATGACTGCCATAAGATCTGGGATATAGAACGTTGTCATGACCATTGGTTTGGACCCTGTAATGTGCCTATTGATGGACTGAGAAAGTGGGAGTTTTATGGATGAGTAAGTGAGTATGTATAAGAAGGGTTGCGATGGTGATGATCATGTGACGGTTAGGGAACTGGAGTTGTAGTCCCGTCAATATCATCGAGGTATGCTGTGTAACGCACTGGATACTTCATGCTAACAACGTTTGACTCATATTATCTGATTGTCTTCGTTTCACGTCTATGTTAATCGTTGTCCGTTGCCTTTATTATCAAACCTAACTGCATTTTATGAGCGTACTGAAATTCAGATGAATTTTTCTCTACCAGACTGAATCACAGTACATAAACTATCTCCAATTCGTACGGTAACCCAGCAAGTGCTAAACGTTGCAATGGTTTGTGATTTGAGTGACAGAGTGGTGTAGGCTATTTACGTCGACAGGTATAAGTAGTATGCAGCACTAACAGAGAGTGGAAAACTTGACAGCAGGAGGGTATGAAGGTTGACTTCATGAAAACAGAAATGGAATAAGTAAGAGATTGTGAATCTGAAGAACCATACAGAATATGAGGGACAAATTAATGAACATAGCAAATGGAGTTCTTAGTGTCAGGTTCTCATATTTAACCAAGCGATTTTGTCATTTTGTATTAAAGTACATTTACTTGAACTCATTTGTATTCTCATTCGTTACAATGATATTAAACACAACTGTAGATATTATATAGGGAGAGACAGCATGTAACCCAACACAGTTCTTACAAGAACTATGAAGATTTATTCAGTCAATCTGTGTGATAATTGATGATTTGTATTCGTTTAATCTATTTTGCGATAAGGTCATCTCAAAAACTAGATTTAGAATTAGTCGAATCAGATAGATTTGCATTTTGTTGCTTTCAGTTGATCATGTTAGCACTACGTTAATAAAGGCGTCAGAAAACAGTCTAACGGTTTAAGAAAAGTGGTAACTTGGCATAGCTAACAGAAGAGCATTTTTAAACATAAAGATATGTTTACAATACATGTTACTGCCACCATGTGTGTACATAACATCATTGGTTCATGTGTCAACATAAAATATAAATATTTAATGGGCGTTGAATAAACTCATCGTTGTATTACACAGTATGGTGTA